ATTCGTGTGACGTGGGGGTCGCGGTAGTGAAATCGAGGTCACGGCCTCGTCGTACAGTGACTCCCAGGCGCCTGTGGCGAATTTGCGACAACGTCGTAACATTCCATCCCAGTCCGGCTTCCTCGTCGACGTAGTTGCGAGGGTCAGGCGAGGGAGGAGGAGTAACAGGCGCCAACCTCCTCTGCTGTCCCTGTTACGCGCGAGGTGCAACAGTGGTGTCAGCAGGCAGGACGCCAACTCCGCTAGGATTTTCGCGCGGTAAGCGACGTGCCAGGGGCGGGAGCCTGGAGTCCCGGAGCACAGTCATATCCCACTCGCATACTTTGGCGAAAAGTTCGTCGTTCTTCGCCAACGCCAGAGGGGGTTGTACCCGCGCTGCAAGGGTTGGTCTGCAGGCGACTGCCGAGCCGCGGCGGGTGTTGGATGTGGCAGCTCGCCGGTTGGATTGGCCGGGCCGCACATTTGCGTTTCGGGCGGGGGAGTCCTCCAAAACTCCCCCGTCTGGGGCGCCTTCCCAGTTTACCCCGATTGGAGGGGTATAAGTGGGGTCGTTTGCGTGTTGAATTTCATCGTCCTCATCATCAGCTCCCTCCGTGTTCCCTTCCGCTGCTCCCCGCGTAGCTCCTCCTCCTGGTGTGTCTGCAACTGGAGTATCAGCCCTTAGCCAGTTTTCCATCCCTCGGTCCGTTCCTTCGCGTCTGCCTGCTTCCGACTCTTTCTCCCTACTAGCGTTGGGTGCTGCAGCGGCTGGGGTTGCTCCCCGGCGCCGCTCTTCGCGTTGTAGACGCACGGCGACGCCGCGGAAGGTTGCAGCGCCTGTCGACGCTCACCCGAGCCCTTGTCTCCCGCTTGTTCCTCTGTGTCCTCGGGTTGTGCTTCTCGCCCGCTCCCCCCCCGGGGCTGCGGTTGTACCTCCGCGGGCCGTGGCTCGCGTGTGCGGGGCTCTGCTTCTTTCCGGCTGCGCTAGAGATGACGCAGGGGTTGCTCTTCTCCCCCTCGCGCCTGCCCCTACGCGAGGCCGAAGCGTCCCCGTCGCCGGTGGGTTCTCCTTCCGGCGTCTCGCTGGCTCTGTCGCCAACGTCCCAGCTGCGCTTGGAGTTTCGGCAGCAGCAGGTCCAGGTGGCAGCGATCGCGAGCGCTCTCGAGCAGCTTCTGCGGCTGCCTCGGTCCGCTGTTGGCGACCGGGTCGCGTGTTCTCCGCCGCCGCCTGAGCCCGCGCCCGCGATTGTACGACAGGGTTTGGGGGACGTCCCATGGATCGCTCCCCGCGTCGCCCGTCTGCCCTGTCCCCGGCTCAGCCGTCGTCGTTTCCTTCTCCGTCTCGGCTTCCGCCGTCGCCCCTTCCGGCCCCCCCGGCTCCCCCTCCGTCGACGCCGTTCGCCGGTGGTCCCGATTCCTCTCCCCGCGGGGTCCTCCCACCGCCTCCTCTGCCTCTTCCAAAGTCGCCAGCGGGACCACCAGCCGCTGTCGGACATGACGTCGTATCGGGCCAGGGCGTGTCTGCGGGGTCTCCGCCACTGCCGTTTCGTCCGATGAAGCATCCCCGCGGGGGCGCCGCGGCGGGCTCTCGGGCAGGGTCACCTCAGACCGTGCTGCCCGGAAGACGAAGGGACCGCTCTCCGCCTCTCTCCGGTCGTCCTCAGGGGTCGGGTTTGCGGGCGGGGCGGGGTATGCCGCCGGCGTCGGCGGCTGTGCTCGACGACCTGCCGCCGCTTCCTCGTCCGCCGGTCCACCTGACGTCGCCGCACGCGTTCTCGCCAGTTGAGGCGATGGCCGGCGTCGTCGCATGTATTGGCGCGGTGGCGGAGGTGCTGGATTATCTCCGCCCACCGCCGCTGCAGGTACCTCCCCGGAAACCTGAGGCGGGTCGGTCATGGCGGCCTGCGATGTCTCGCCGCCAGCAGCGACGCGCGATGGAGGCCGCGTCACTACTTCTCTGGCGGCTGGCCTATGGGTTGCCGCCAGGAGCAGAGGCGGGGGAGCTGGATCCCGCTCCTCGCGCCGTTGATGAGTTGAATCGGTCGCTCGTGGCGAATCAGCGCCCGGCGATCTTGGCCGCTTGCGCGGCGGTGCTTCGGGCTTTGGAGAGTCGGGCCGGGGCCCTTGTTCCACCGTCGGCTTTGGAGGTGTAGTAGGTGGGCGGTTGTCTGGCGTGTAGGCCAGGTCCCCGCCATCGTGCGCTGTGGGTGGCGCCGTAGCCATAGGCTATGTGCTAGGTTGTAGCCCCCTGTGGAGGCATGCTTGTATGCTGTAATATCCCTGGTTTAGGAGAGGATACGTTGCACCTCCTCTTCTCTGCCCTCCTGCGCGGCCGGAGTCCGCGCCGCGAGCGACGGCGCGAGCGCCGCTGCAGGGATCGGATGAAGAACTCAACTCGAAACTAAATAATGAACTCTAGGATGGGTGGGAGAGCATTATATACCATGGGCTCTCTCTCTGTCTGTCTCTCTCTCTCTCGCTCTCTCTCTCTCGCTCTCGCGAGCGCCGCTGCAGGGATCGGATGAAGAACTCAACTCGAAACTAAATAATGAACTCTAGGATGGGTGGGAGAGCATTATATACCATGGGCTCTCTCTCTCTCTCCCACTCTCTCTCTCTCTCTCTCTCTCTCTCTCTCTCTCTCTCTCTCTCTCTCTCTCTCTCTCTCTCTCTCTCTCTCAAGCGGTCCGTGTATTGATTGAGAACGTTGTACATACTAAACAAGTGGGCAGACTTCAAACCATATCGAAGGTACGTGCATGCTGGGGATGGGCAGCTGGACTACTGGAGCTCCCCGAGGGGTTCCGCTATGGCAAAACAGTCCCCTAGGCCCATGATGGCGTCAGGGGTACCCACGGGGGGGTACTCTGCCGGGGCAGCCTCGTTGACTTTTCCGAGGTAGGCCAGGGCCTGTGCCCTCTGGAGCGTGATGGACCAGCGCTGGCGGAACTGATGCAGCAGCTTCGCCGCCTGGTAGGAGCTCGGGTCCGCGTTGAAAAGCCGCCTTGCCCCTGTGTCCGCCAGGAGCTTCAGAAAGCTGGGGACCTCGGCGCAGGGGCAGCCATAGGTCTCCACGGCCAAGGGGAAGAAGCCAACATAAGGTGCGCGGTTACGGTAGTGATCAATCTTCTTATCGGCCTGTTCCCGGGCCATATATCCCCGCCCCTTGCGTGCGTGCGGGTCCCGGGTGCTGATGGGGTCCGTGACAGTGACGTCACAGATCCAGACGGCACCGGAGTCTCTGTCGCGCATGGCTAGGTCGGCCTTATGGCCGTCCACTGGGCTGTAGGTAGTGGTCTCCTTGGTAACGATGAACCCGGCATCTCGCGCCATACGAATGCACTCATCGCGGAGTGCGTTGTGGGTGTCTGTCCGGCCATGCCCCGTGCCGCAGCGGAAGAGGTGGTTGGGCAGCCGGGGGTCAAGGATCTCGGTCTCGTCTGCGCAGTTGCAATTGCGTGGGGCTGGGAAAGGGAGGCCGAGGCGGAAGGCGAGGGCGATGGCAAAGTGCGGTGGTCCGAGGCGGAGAGAGGGGAAGATGGGGATGGCATGGATCCAATCCCCTGCCCCGTAGCCAGCAAGGGAGAACAGACGCTGTGTGTGGCCGGAGCTGGGGTTCAGCTCCATCCCGCGGGACGCTGCCACCTGGTCCGCATATCGGGCGGCTTGGACTTCGAGGGAGAGCCGGTGCTGGAGGGGGTTTCCGGATGGTTCCTGGCGTTCGGAGCGCAGGAGCTCTAGTGCACGGGTCGGCATGGCTGCCTCACACCCCGCCAGCCAGGTATGGAGATGGTTGGGGCTGGAGAAGGGGGGGGTGAGGGGGCGCAGTGCGGACGCCAGGGGCCCATCGGCTGCTGCTGGCAGGGCGGCGAGGAGGTGTTGCGCCTGGGTGACGCTGGTCAGGAAGGCTGGGGGGCCTTCAATGGCAGGATCGGAGAGGCCCAGCCCGCCGAGCGAGGGCGGAAGTGAGGCTTGGGCCCAGGTGCGCGCGCGTTCGGCTTCCCCTCGAGGAAGCTGGAGGTTGCACGCGCGAAGGAGGGTGTGGAAAAGGCCCCGTCCCCACTCCGACCACTCGGGTTGTGGGAGGAAATCCAGGGGCGTGGTGCGGGTCAGGTAACTGACCCGCCGCGAGATGCAGCGCGTAAGGAGGAGCGACGCTGTTTGGGGGTCCATGGAGGCGATGGTGGGGAGTGGTTCGGCCAGCGAGGCCAGCTGGGCGCGGAGGAAACCAGCTGAGCCCTCCGCTGTCCCGACAAAACTCCCCAGCACCCGTAGCCCCGCGCTGTGGAAAGGGACGTCCGGGGGAATGGCGTCGGGCGGGGGAGGGGTGGGGGACCACGCACCACATTTCGAGGGGTTGTGCGTGAGGCCGATGGCCCCGACTGCGCCCGTGAAGTGGTGGAAGGCCGCTGTGCAGGCGGCCGGATCACCCACGAACGTCACGTCGTCCGCGTAGGCTAGACAGAGGACGTCGGGGTGGGCGACAGCTGTTGATTGAAGCGCGGGGTGGATGGCCGCGGCGAAGAGCAGGGGGCCCATGGGGTCCCCTTGTCGGACGCCCCGTGCACTCTGGAGTGGGGGGCTGGCGAAACCGTCATCGAGGTAGAGGAGCAAGGGGGAGCCGTAGGAGCCGTCTCTCTCTCTCTCTCTCTCTATCTATCTCTCTACCCATGTCTCCCCTCTCTCCTGTGACTCATGGGCCTCGAGAACAGCGTGCACATGCCGGTGGCACTCTATACCCCTCTGCACGTGGCTTGGCACATGCTTCTACTGCGTCTAGTACATCCCTGCAAGCCTGATTCCGACATGCCTGCTGTGGGCTTATAGCCGATTTGCCACGCGCTCTTTTTGAAACATGTCCATCTGCGACTCCCTGCTGGCGTCATGCGCGGTGGAATGGCTGTGGCTTGAATCACTCGGCGCTGCTTGGAATTCGCATTGAATGGCATGGCTCTGTATGTGGCGGCGGCGTAACCATGGCATGAAATGGCATGGCATGGCATGGCATGGCATGGCACCAGCAATCTGAGCAGGAACCATTTGAGTGGTGCCATCCCGTTGGCATTATCTGAACGCCTCACCGACCTCACACTACTGTGAGCCTTGTGCCCACTTCAACTCCTCACCCACTTCAAGCTCCCTCCTCCTGTTATAGCTCCCTCCCTCCCTCCCTCCCTCCCTCCCTCCCTCCCTCCCTCCCTCCCTCCCTCCCTCCCTCCCTCCCTCCCTCCCTCCCTCCCTCCCTCCCTCCCTCCCTCCCTCCCTCCCTCCCTCCCTCCCTCCCTCCCTCCCTCCCTCCCTCCCTCCCTCCCTCCCTCCCTCCCTCCCTCCCTCCCTCCCCCTCTCCTGCCCTCCTGCCTTCCTCCCTCCCATCATCCCTCTATCCATGCTGTGGGCGCCTTCACGCTCATTCTCTCGTACTCGCATTCGGCTCTATGCCCACCGTGATATCACGCATGCAGCTGCTCATACATACCTGCTTAGCGTGGCTCCAGCCAAGCCCGTCAGCTCTCGCTCTCCCCCCTCACCTGTTCTCTCTTCTTCGCCAATACCATGGCATGGCACGGCATGGCATGGCATGGCATGGCACGACATGGCGTGGCACGGCATGGCGTGGCACGGCATGGCATGGCACGGCATGGCGTGGCACGGCATGGCATGGCACGGCATGGCGTGGCACGGCATGGCGTGGCACGGCATGGCATGGCATGGCATGGCGTGGCACGGCATGGCGTGGCACGGCATGGCGTGGCATGGAATGGCACGGGCTGGCGCATGGCATGTTTGGTGCAGGGACCTGTCGTTTAATCGGCTGTCGGGATTCATACCGCCGTCTCTCGCCTCGCTCACCAGGCTCAAGCTCCTGTACGCCACCACCACCACCATCACCATCACCACCAGCAGCGCCCATCCCACCCCTGTCACTCCCCCTCCCGTCACTCCCCCCTCCCGTCACTCCCCCTCCCGTCACTCCCCCTCCCATCACCCCCCCTCCCGTCACTCCCCCCTCCCGTCACTCCCCCCTCCCGTCACTCCCCCTCCCGTCACTCCCCCTCCCGTCACTCCCCCTCCCGTCACTCCCCCTCCCATCACCCCCCCTCCCGTCAGCCCCCCTCCCGTGACTCCCCCTCCCGTCATCCCCCCTCCCGTCACTCCCCCTCCCGTCACTCCCCCTCCTGTCACTCCCCCTCCCGTCACTCCCCCTCCCGTCACTCCCCCTCCCGTCACTCCCCCTCCCGTCACTCCCCCTCCCGTCACTCCCCCTCCCGTCACTCCCCCTCCCGTCACTCCCCCTCCCGTCACTCCCACCCCCCCGGTCCATCACCCCTCACCCCGTCACTCACCTCCCCGTCCCCCCTCTCCCCGTCCTCCCTCACCCCGTCACTCCTCACTGCTCCGCATTGACGCCTCCTCCGGTCTCGTTTTTGTCTGTCACGTGTTTTGTCCCCACCGGAACACTGTCAGCCTCTCCGATTACACCTTCTGCTCTCTTCTCTCTCCTTCCTCCACTCCCCCCCTCTCCCCCCCTTCCCCCCCTTCCCTTTGGCCCCTTCCCAGCAACATATCAGGCTCAGGCATCTCCTGTCCTCTCCCCTCCTCCTCCTGCCAGCCCCCTCCCCCTCCCTCCTCCGCCTTCTGTCGTCTCTGCCCAGCGTTCTGCTCCTCCTGCCCCCCTCCTCCCGCACCCTCCCCTCTCCCCAACCTCCCACCATCACCAGCAGCAGCACCAGAACCATCATCAAAACAACAACCACCGCAACAACAACAACAAGCGCCAGCATCAGCACCAGCACCAGCACCAGCACCAGCACCAGCACCAGCACCAGCACCAGCACCAGCAGTACCACCATTGCTCGCCCCACAGCCCCAACCACCAGAGCCAGTGACCTCATCGCTGCACTCCCAGTCAGCGTACCCCCTGCCGCCTCCCCCGGGCCCTCCTGTGGCCCCAGAGGACCCCCTGCGCACCTCGGGCGTGAGCACCACGGCCATCCTGGCCATCGTGGGCGCTGCTGCCGCTGCCATGCTGCTAGCCGCCGTGGTGTGGTGGCGCTGTGGCGGACAGAAGCAGCAGCCGGCGCGCACCAACAGTATGGCATGGGGTAGAGGGAGGGAGGGGAGGGGGGAGAGGGGAGAGGGGAGAGGGGAGAGGGGAGAGGGGAGAGGGGAGAGGGGAGAGGGGAGAGGGGAGAGGGGAGGGGGGAGGGGGGAGGGGGAGGGGGAGGGGGGAGGGGGAGGGGGGAGGGGGGAGGGGGTAGGGGGGAGGGGGGAGGGGGAGGGGGAGGGGGGAGGGGGAGGGGGGAGGGGGGAGGGGGGAGGGGGAGGGGGAGGGGGGAGGGGGGAGGGGGGAGGGGGGAGGGGGGAGGGGGGTGGGGGAGGGGGAGGGGGAGGGGGGAGGGGGAGGGGGGAGGGGGGAGGGGGAGGGGGGAGGGGGGAGGGGGAGGGGGAGGGGGAGGGGGAGGGGGGAGGGGGAGGGGAGAGGGGAGAGGGGAGAGGGGAGGGAGGATGAGTTGGAGTGGATGGAAGTGCAGTTTGGTTGGTGGTTAAAGCCAGGGATGGGGATGGGGAGAGCATGGCAAAGTGAGGAGGTAGCGAGCGAGGGAATAGGATGGGAGGTGGGCGATGGTCGCAGACCTTTGACCATCGGCGTCTCCCCCTGGGTCTCCCTCCCCATTCTCCCTGTACCCCCATCCTTCGCTCCACCTCCGCCCCTCCTTCCCCCGTCCGTCCTCTCCTCCGCCTCTCCTGCTGGCAGGCTCATCAAGTGTGTCGCGCTCAGCCAAGAAGCGCCTGGTGCCGGCGAGGGAGTTCTCCCCGGACGAGCTGTGCCGCGCCACCAGCAGCTGGGCGCCGGAGTGCCTCATTGGCTCGGGGGGCTTCCACGACGTGTACCGAGGGGTGTCCCCGCACGACGGGTGCACGCTGTGGGCTGTGAAGCGCGCCAAGGTGCTCAGCAACGACTTTCAGAAGGAGGTGAGCCGCTGCCGTGCTTGCTCTGTTGCTGCTGCTGCTGCTGCTGCTTGCGGTTGGCGGTGCTGCCTCTTCCACTGTCGACTTTGCTGCTGCCTGTGCTGCATCTGCTGTTTTTGCCGCATTACCATCCATTCCCTCACTCACTCACCCACCCTCTCCCCCCCTCCTCACCCTCCCACCGAACCCCCACCTCGTTCTCTCCCACTCCCCCCCTGGCAGATAGCTCAGATGTCTCCCAGGAGCCACCCCAACGTGGCTCGCCTCCTGGGGTACTGCAAGGCGGCTGCAGTGGACGGCACGGCTGGCAGCTCCAGCGCGCGCATGGAGCAGATCCTCGTGTACGAGCTCGTGCCCAATGGGGGCCTCGACCAGTGGATCGGGGAAGGTGAGCGGCGGTAGGGGCCTGATGATCACTCAGCAGAATCCACTGTCAAGCGCACCCATCAATCATTGTCATCCTCCCCCCCCGTCCGACCCCCCCTCCTTCCCCCTTCCTTTTCCCCCCTTTCCCACTGGGCTGTTTCGCTCTTGCTTCTACTTCTTCCTCTCACCTGCCCTTGCATCATGCCCAGTAAGTTGCCTTTCTTTTTGTCATGACCCTCTCCATGACTGCGCTCCCCCCTGCTCTCTGACCCTCTCCTGCCCCGCCACCTCTTGCGTTGCGTCTTCTCCCCCAGACTGCCGCACGCCACTCACCCTGCTGCAGCGCCTGCACATCCTGCTAGGGGCCGCCAAGGGGCTGGCCTACCTGCACCGGTTTGGGATTGTGCATTGCGACATCAAGCCAGCCAACATTCTGCTGGATACTAACATGCAGGTATTGGCAGCAAAAAAAGTACATATATATATATATATATATATATATATATATATATATATATATCTTTGTCTTTTAACTCTGTCTGAGGGGTTGGTGTCAGACCAACAACAAGGGAACACAACTTCTCGGCTCCCTGCTGGAAGAGCAAACTTCCCTTCATATTTTCTTCTCCCCTTGCTGCAAAGGCTTGAACTGACTCGATCGCCTCCTTTCCTTTCTCCAGCGCTTCTGTGCTTTTGAAATGCACACCACCCCTTTTATTCTGGGTGGGTTGATTGTCAGCCGGTAGCTATTCGCCGAAACCCAGGTGCGCTCCACACGGACCAGCTGTGCACCCATCCCGCATCCCCACTGCACGCACCCACCCCTCTTGCCCTGACTGTCCCGCTACGCGTCTCCTCCCCCCTTCATGGCATGGGTGCAGGCGAAGGTGGCGAGCTTAGGCGTGGTGAGGGTGGGCGAGAGCAGCGTGGTGAGCTTTGTGGACCCGCAGTACGCGGAGACCATGCAGGGCAGCATGGCCAGCGACGTGTACAGCTTCGGCCTCGTCATCCTCGCCACTGTGGCCAGCCATGCTGTCCTCTTGGGGGATGAATTCCAGACCAACACGCTGCGAGCGGTGAGTCAACCTGCTGCTGCTTCTCTGTTGATTACTGTGCTCCTTCTGTTCTTGATCTGTCCCTCCCTCCCCCCCCCAAACCCCCTTGCACATTTTTTCGTTTTCTGAAGCACCAGCTTTTCTCTTCCCCATCTAGGCTTATTCGTTGGATGCATGTGCTGTTGCAGGTAACCAACTGTGTGGCCAGTGGCGAGGCGAGGAGCTTGAAGGACCCGGACATGGAAGCCCCTGATGACATCGTCACGCGCATCCTCCAACTTGCTCTCGACTGCTGCGCTGCCAACGCCTCACATCGCCCTGCCATGCCTCTGGTTGTGAAAGCGCTCAAGGATCTGCGGGGGGAGTTGCTGGGCACTAGTTTGAATGGGAATGGGATCACTCACTCGGAGATTGAGCAAGGACTAGGTGCGCTACAACGGCAGGACAATAGGGCCAAGGCAGTAACAATAAGGATTTCCGATGAAGATGGATTGATTACAATCGAGCATGCAAGGCCTGAGTCGTAGGTGCCGTTTTTGTGTTTGTTTTTATGTTTTTATGTATAGATTTGCTTTCATGTATAAATGCCCTTTGCTCATATAACGTGCAACATATTGTTTTGATGTAAGTGTACATGGATCTGTAGTATAGTGGCCTATGCTTTGTAGTGTACGTGGATCAATAACATTTGGTTATTTGGTTACCCCCGTGAAGAAATGGTTTCTCTTCATCGACATTCCCTCTACCCTGGTCGTCGCTTTCCTTGGGGCGTGTATAAAGTAAACGGGCGACGTCAGTAGAGCTCATTTGACGTCACGTGGGGACGTCCGCCAGACATGAAATCTCCTTATTCAGAGGGGTGCACAGGCACATTGAGCATTGCCAGAAACAGCCCAGAGTAAACTTTCGAGAAGCCGCTACCGAGACGTATTGTGACAAAATGGATCCAGTGCAAAACAGTTTTGTAACGTCCGAAAACAACGAGGGGTTGCAAAACGGGGGCATGCCAATGTGCCTGCACTGCACGAGCAAAACGCTCCATTTCGCGAGCTATATCGTGATTTCGCGTAGGGCTTAGTTTTTTTCTGCGTCTCCTTCCCGGGCACAGTGCTTTGGGCACCCGAAATGTCTCAGGACCTCAGCTCAGATGCATTTCTGTTTTCCGATGAACTCTTTCGTTCTGGCTACATGGTGGTAACCCCTTTAAGCCCTCACTGACGTCCCGTGATGTCACGTTTGGATTCGCTTTTTACACGCCTTTACTTCCAACCCTAATTCTCCCCATAGATTCCAGTCCACTGTCCCTTGGCTAATGTCCGGCTAAGATCCGTCACATAATTACGTTCTACCTCTCATACCGGCGCCTAATGACCGCCTTCGTCGGTGCATCGGCGAACCCCTCTTACAAGAGCTACTCTTACAATAGACATTCTTGCAAGAGCCACTCCTACAAGAGCTATTCGCCTCTTATTCTCGTTGGTAGTCGTTAAGCGGCGCCCCATAACCAGGCATCTGGACTCATAAGCCCGCCGTCGACTCGACTCGAGGCAGTCCCCTAACTACTGGGTACTGCCTACCACTACCGCGCGTCGAAAAACGGCCAGGCACCTCCGAATCCGCTCGGCATCTCCGAGTGTTGTGCGCGCGCGCGGCGGCCCCCATGGTGTACGTGGACTCGTGGGACGAGTTTGCGGAGAAGGCGGAGGTTCTCTTCCGCGCCGACCCCGCCAAGGTGGGTGCCGCCATGCCAGGGGTTACTCGCGATATGTTACTACGTATTTGGTGGGGGTTATTCGCGGCATGGTGTGTGCTCGACAAACGCTGCTGCACGAGACATGGTGCGAAGTCACAGGCGAGTTCGTCGTCTTTCATGCAGCTGCCTTGTTATCGGGGGGTGCTATCGAGCACCATGTACGTGCCATGCTGTCAATACGTGGCAGCTGCTCGCTTGTACGCGGTACTAGACGTGTCGCAGAAAGAAGCGACGAGTGGCGCTGATTCTGCGGCCTGTGGCTCGCTTGTGCAGCAGTGCGCGCCGATGCGCTCTCGCTGCAGCGCGGCGACTCGATCGAGGTTCCTCAAACCTAGACTCGCTCCTGCACAGCGACCTCTGGCACTCGTGGCCACTCGATGCCGCTGCAACCTCACACGATTCGGCCCGCCAGCCCCTCCTTTCCCCCCCCACCCAGTTGCCCCTTCCCCCGCCCCTTCTCCCCCCATCCAGTTGCCCCTTCTCCCCCCATCGAGTTGCCCCTTCTCCCCACATCTGGCCGGGCTGCACTTAGCAGCTCCTGCGCCAGGGATAGCCTGGTCAATTGCTCCGCTCTCCCCCTCCTCTCCCCCGCTCTGCCTTTCCTCTCCCCTCCCACTCCCCCCATTGCCTTCCTTCCGCTCATTCCTCTTCTTCCCCAGCCTCCCCCCATTCGCAATCCTCCCCCCCTCCCCCCCCTTTTCCGCGTCCTCTCACGCTGACACACACACACACGCGCACATGCGCGCACACACACACGCGCGCACACACACACACGCACGCACGCACACACACATACACACACACACACACACACACACACACGCGCGCGCACACACGCACACACACGCACACACGCACACACACACACACACGCATGCACGCACGCACGCGCACACACGCACACACACGTTCACACACGCACACACACGTTCACACACGCACATGCACCCTCACTCAGACGCACACACACACGCACACGCTCACGCACGCACACGCAGACACACACACACACACGCATGCACGCATGCGCACACAGGCACATGCACACGCACACACACGCGCCACACGCATCCACGTGCCTGGGCGCATGGACGCCGGGATGCATGGACATGTACTCTAGGGTAAAATACCCAGAATCTGGTTGGGGTCCAGGCCACTTCTTTGCTGGAGCCAGTTGTTTGGCCCCCAACCCAACAAGTTTCGCGGTCAAAGCGTTGGCTGTTGACCAGCACTACTGAAGCCCCAATACCGTTGGCCCACCCAATGTTCAAACTAGGCCTCCATTGAAGATTGGCAAACGCAACCAACCACAATGTACTTGCGGTGGACCCCACCTGGGTATGCTGAGCGTTTTGCTTTGAGGCGCCTCAAAACTGGACCCCACCTGGGTATGCTGAGCGTTTTGCAGCCTGCCATCAGTTTGAGCTCAATTTCCTCTCAACCCATCCCCTGCTCTCATGCATGCACGCCCCTACGACGCTCCCCTCCCCCTACCCTCTCTCAGTTCCTCTGGGTGAGCCAGCAGCGCCTTGTCCATCACTGCGCCTCCCCACCGCCCGTGTCCCATCACACGACTTCTCTGCACCACGTGCTGCCCGTGCCTCCCCACCGCCCCTGTGTCCCATCACACGACTCCTCTGCACCACGTGCTGCCCGTGCCTCCCCGTGGCCGTGCCCCCCCTCAGTTCCGCTATGTGAGCAAGTACCGCCACTGCGACGGCAAGCTCGTGCTCAAAGCCACAGACGACACAGTGGTGAGTCGATGGAGGGCATGGGGTCAGTGGAGGGGCATGGGGTCAGTGGAGGGGCATGGGGTCAGTGGAGGGGCATGGGGTCAGTGGAGGGGCATGGGGTCAATGGAGGGGCATGGGGTTAGTGGAGGGGCATGGGGTCAGTGGAGGGGCATGGGGTCAATGGAGGGGCATGGGGTCAATGGAGGGGCATGGGGTCAGCCTTGCATGCGAGTGGTGAGTCCGAGTTATTGCATGGGATGGGTGTGCGTGGATGGAGTGACAAGAACGTGGATGGGTGTGCGTGGATGGAGTGACAAGAACGTGGATGGGTGTGCGTGGATGGAGTGACAAGAACGTGGATGGGTGTGCGTGGATGGAGTGACAAGAACGTGGATGGGTGTGCGTGGATGGAGTGACAAGAACGTGGATGGGTGTGCGTGGATGGAGTGACAAGAACGTGGATGGGTGTGCGTGGATGGAGTGACAAGAACGTGGATGGGTGTGCGTGGATGGAGTGACAAGAACGTGGATGGGTGTGCGTGGATGGAGTGACAAGAACGTGGATGGGTGTGCGTGGATGGAGTGACAAGAACGTGGATGGGTGTGCGTGGATGGGTGTGCGTGGATGGGTGTGCGTGGATGGGTGTGCGTGGATGGGTGTGCGTGGATGGGTGTGCGTGGATGGGTGTGCGTGGATGGGTGTGCGTGGATGGGTGTGCGTGGATGGGTGTGCGTGGATGGGTGTGCGTGGATGGGTGTGCGTGGATGGGTGTGCGTGGATGGAGTGACAAGAACGTGGATGGGTGTGCGTGGATGGAGTGACAAGAACGTGGATGGGTGTGCGTGGATGGAGTGACAAGAACGTGGATGGGTGTGCGTGGATGGAGTGACAAGAACGTGGATGGGTGTGCGTGGATGGAGTGACAAGAACGTGGATGGGTGTGCGTGGATGGAGTGACAAGAACGTGGATGGGTGTGCGTGGATGGAGTGACAAGAACGTGGATGGGTGTGCGTGGATGGAGTGACAAGAACGTGGATGGGTGTGCGTGGATGGAGTGACAAGAACGTGGATGGGTGTGCGTGGATGGAGTGACAAGAACGTGGATGGGTGTGCGTGGATGGAGTGACAAGAACGTGGATGGGTGTGCGTGGATGGGTGTGCGTGGATGGGTGTGCGTGGATGGGTGTGCGTGGATGGGTGTGCGTGGATGGGTGTGCGTGGATGGGTGTGCGTGGATGGGTGTGCGTGGATGGGTGTGCGTGGATGGGTGTGCGTGGATGGGTGTGCGTGGATGGGTGTGCGTGGATGGGTGTGCGTGGATGGGTGTGCGTGGATGGAGTGACAAGAACGTGGATGGGTGTGCGTGGATGGAGTGACAAGAACGTGGATGGGTGTGCGTGGATGGAGTGACAAGAACGTGGATGGGTGTGCGTGGATGGAGTGACAAGAACGTGGATGGGTGTGCGTGGATGGAGTGACAAGAACGTGGATGGGTGTGCGTGGATGGAGTGACAAGAACGTGGATGGGTGTGCGTGGATGGAGTGACAAGAACGTGGATGGGTGTGCGTGGATGGAGTGACAAGAACGTGGATGGGTGTGCGTGGATGGAGTGACAAGAACGTGGATGGGTGTGCGTGGATGGAGTGACAAGAACGTGGATGGGTGTGCGTGGATGGAGTGACAAGAACGTGGATGGGTGTGCGTGGATGGGTGTGCGTGGATGGGTGTGCGTGGATGGGTGTGCGTGGATGGGTGTGCGTGGATGGGTGTGCGTGGATGGGTGTGCGTGGATGGGTGTGCGTGGATGGGTGTGCGTGGATGGGTGTGCGTGGATGGGTGTGCGTGGATGGGTGTGCGTGGATGGGTGTGCGTGGATGGGTGTGCGTGGATGGGTGTGCGTGGATGGGTGTGCGTGGATGGGTGTGCGTGGATGGGTGTGCGTGGATGGGTGTGCGTGGATGGGTGTGCGTGGATGGGTGTGCGTGGATGGAGTGACAAGAACGTGGATGGGTGTGCGTGGATGGAGTGACAAGAACGTGGATGGGTGTGCGTGGATGGAGTGACAAGAACGTGGATGGGTGTGCGTGGATGGAGTGACAAGAACGTGGATGGGTGTGCGTGGATGGAGTGACAAGAACGTGGATGGGTGTGCGTGGATGGAGTGACAAGAACGTGGATGGGTGTGCGTGGATGGAGTGACAAGAACGTGGATGGGTGTGCGTGGATGGAGTGACAAGAACGTGGATGGGTGTGCGTGGATGGAGTGACAAGAACGTGGATGGGTGTGCGTGGATGGAGTGACAAGAACGTGGATGGGTGTGCGTGGATGGAGTGACAAGAACGTGGATGGGTGTGCGTGGATGGGTGTGCGTGGATGGGTGTGCGTGGATGGGTGTGCGTGGATGGGTGTGCGTGGATGGGTGTGCGTGGATGGGTGTGCGTGGATGGGTGTGCGTGGATGGGTGTGCGTGGATGGGTGTGCGTGGATGGGTGTGCGTGGATGGGTGTGCGTGGATGGGTGTGCGTGGATGGGTGTGCGTGGATGGGTGTGCGTGGATGGGTGTGCGTGGATGGGTGTGCGTGGATGGGTGTGCGTGGATGGGTGTGCGTGGATGGGTGTGCGTGGATGGGTGTGCGTGGATGGGTGTGCGTGGATGGGTGTGCGTGGATGGGTGTGCGTGGATGGGTGTGCGTGGATGGGTGTGCGTGGATGCGGCGGTGCCTACTCTGAGCTGAGGGCATATTGCCATCACAACTGCCGCGCCTCTTGTTTCCACGGGCTCCCTAGTAATGCCATACCATGCACTGCTGTGACATAGCACCATGCAGCTCCGTGCCATAGCACCATGCAGCGCCGTGCCATAGCACCATACATCTCCGTGCCATAGCACCATACGGTGCCATGCCATAGCACCATCCAGCGCTGTGCCATAGCACCGTGCAGTGATGTGCCTCTCAACTCCCCACTTCTCCCCCCCACATCCCCCCCCCCTCGAAAGTGTATCAAATGCCGCATGGACCAGGCATGTGTTCAGGTGTCTTCAATCACGTTCTTCCTCTATTTCCTTACCGTCTTTTGCCTCCTCTCCCCACCCCTCCTCTACCGTCTTTTGCCTCCTCTCCCCACCCCTCCTCTGCTTCACCTCCTCCCCCCCCGGCAGTGCATCAAGTTCCGCACGGACCAGGCGCAGGACGCCAAGAAGATGGAGCGCCTCAACAACCTGCTCTTCACCCTCATGGCGCGCGGCCCCGATGGTAGAGCCAGGCGGGGAGAGGGCGGGATGGTAGGGGGAGAGAGGGCGGGATGGTAGGGGGAGAGAGGGCGGGATGGTAGGGGGAGAGAGGGCGGGATGGTAGGGGGAGAGAGGGCGGGATGGTAGGGGGAGAGAGGGCGGGATGGTAGGGGGAGAGAGGGCGGGATGGTAGGGGAAGAGAGGGCAGGATGGTAGTGGGAGGGAGGGCGGGATGGTAGGGGGAGAGAGGGCGGGATGGTAGGGGGAGAGAGGGCGGGATGGTAGGGGGAGAGAGGGCGGGATGGTAGGGGGAGAGAGGGCGGGATGGTAGGGGGAGAGAGGGCGGGATGGTAGGGGAAGAGAGGGCGGGATGGTAGGGGGAGAGAGGGCAAGATGGTAGGGGGAGAGAGGGCGGGATGGTAGGGGAAGAGAGGGCGGGATGGTAGGGGGAGAGAGGGCGGGATGGTAGGGGGAGAGAGGGCGGGATGGTAGGGGGAGAGAGGGCGGGATGGTAGGGGGAGAGAGGGCGGGATGGTAGGGGGAGAGAGGGCGGGATGGTAGGGGAAGAGAGGGCGGGATGGTAGGGGGAGAGAGGGCAAGATGGTAGGGGGAGAGAGGGCGGGATGGTAGGGGAAGAGAGGGCAGGATGGTAGTGGGAGGGAGGGCGGGATGGTAGGGAGAGAGAGGGCGGGATGGTAGGGGGAGAGAGGGCGGGATGGTAGGGGGAGAGAGGGCGGGATGGTAGGGGAAGAGAGGGCGGGATGGTAGGGGGAGAGAGGGCGGGATGGTTGGGGGAGAGAGGGCAGGATGGTAGTGGGAGAGAGGGCGGGATGGTAGGGGAAGAGAGGGCGGGATGGTAGGGGGAGAGAGGGCGGGATGGTAGGGGGAGAGAGGGCGGGACGGTAGGGGGAGAGAGGGCAAGATGGTAGTGGGAGGGAGGGCGGGATGGTAGGGGGAGAGAGGGCGGGATGGTAGGGGGAGAGAGGGCGGGATGGTAGGGGGAGAGAGGGCGGGATGGTAGGGGGAGAGAGGGCGGGATGGTAGGGGGAGAGAGGGCGGGACGGTAGGGGAAGAGGAGAGGCCCGGACGACTGATGGACTGGGGAGAGGGGCATGGAGAGGAGAGGGCAAGAGAGGAGGAGAGGCTTAACAACCTGCTCTTCATGCTCATGGTGCATTCCTCCCCATGCCAACCCTGCTTCTCTCCCCATGCCAACCCTGCCTCTCTCCCCGTGCCAACCCTGCCTCCCTCCCCATGCCAGCCAACCCTGCCTGCCTCTCTCCCCATGCCAACCCTGCCTCTCTCCCCATGCCCACCCTGCCTGCCTCTCTCCCCGTGCCAACCCTGCCTCCCTCCCCATGCCAGCCAACCCTGCCTGCCTCTCTCCCCATGCCAACCCTGCCTCTCTCCCCATGCCCACCCTGCCTGCCTCTCTCCCCATGCCAACCCTGCCTCTCTCCCCATGCCAATCCTGCCTCTCTCCCCATGCCCACCCTGCCTGCCTCCCTCCCCCATGCCCACCCATCGTACCTCGCTCACCCCACCATGTGTTCCCGTCTCCCTCCCGTGTTGTTGCTGCAGCCGTGGCCGAGTCCTCATCAACGAGCCCCAGCAACTGCGTTGCCTCTTACTCACATTCTCCTTCCCGCCCCTACCATGCCTTCTCCTTCCCCCGTCTTCCCCCGTGTTCCCCCGTGTTCCCCCGTGTTCCCCCGGGTGGTGCTGCTGGTGCAGCCGTGGTGGAGTCGCTCTCCCTGGACCCGCAACAACTGCCCACCCACCAGCAGCAGCAGCAGCACCAGCAGCAGCAGCAGGCACGGAGAGGGAGGGGAAGGCGGCAATAGCCACATCACTGCGATACCGCAGACACAACCTTCAAGGGGGACAGAAGCAGAGCTTTTTGAACTTGGGGCTTTCATTGTACCATAGCACGGAACTCTGCATTCTACGTTGACTGGAATAATGATGAACTATCAATGTGAGTATTTTGCCAAGACTTGTTGCAACTCCGGCCCTCAACGAATCTGACCACCGGTGCTCACCCAAGTTGCCAGTTCTTGAGCACACTTGGCTCGGCAGCCATTTGCATACTAACTGACAAGTGAAACCGACAACACCCGCGCTCTGATGAATCATTAGTAACAAATGGGGAGAATTTGGTTTTATACTCCTGAAGAATTACTGGTACCGGTACCGAAAACAGTGGGGCAATCAGGCACTGATGCAGGAGTGTTTGAGCATGCCATTGCCATGCCCCTATGGCGGCAGGTGAAGCACCCCCTTGCGGTGCAGGGAGGTGCAGTGCGGGCAGAACCACTTGTCGTGGATCCTCTGCATGGCCATGTTGAGCCCCACACACTCGTAGTGGAACCACTCGCCGCCCTCGCACTGCCCATGGGAGAGATGGACAAGCGGGGGGAGAATTCTCTGCATGTCTGTCACCACACCCATGCACTCGTAGTGGCACCACAGGCGAGCTGGGAGTGGCAAGTGGCGGCGTGTGGGGTGGGGAAGAGGGGAAGAGGGGAAGAGGGGAAGAAGGGAACCACTGGGCTGAAGTGGGGGGAGAATACGATGAGGCTGACAGGGAGAATCCACTGCATGTGCACCGCACATGCCTGTGAACGCATCACATGCTTGGGCAGGGCACATGCGTGTGAAAGCGCTCATTGCCACAAGCACGCGCACCGTGGCCGTGATGAACGAGTTTCAGCAGTTATACAATCCAGTTCCATGCATGCACTCACGTTCTCATTATCGCATGCAATCATGTCTCCGAAAGACACCTGTGATGGTTCATAGGCAAGGGGCCGTGGAACGACGCACGAAGAAAATGCAGGGAAGAGAGTTTAGCATGGAGGAAGGTTAGCCGGAAGACAAAAAAGGGGATATTTGAAGGGGCACGGCGGCAGTAGCAGGACAAGAGGGAATGCGAAGAGCGACCAGGGACACACCTGTCCACATATGCAGTATGTTGGCTCGTACGCCTGATCTGCCGACCCCCCCTCAGGCACCTCCCTCCCGACACCAGCTGCTCCCGCCACCAAGCCCCTGCCCATCCCGCCCTTCCTGCGCGATGGCGGCACGGCAGCAGGAGGCGGCATCAGGCCCGCATCTCGCCCCGCCCTCTCCCTCTCCCTCTCCCTCTCCCTCTCCCTCTCCCTCTCCCTCTCCCTCTCCCTCTCCCGCCCTGCCTCCCCCTCGCGCCTCACGTGCCACGCCTCCCCCTTCAACCCCTCGTCCAGCACTCCTCCCAAGGTACCCAGATTTACTTCTCCTCGTCCTCCTCCTCCTCCCCCTCTCCCGGCCCCTCCCTCTTCCCCACCATTTCCAAAAGCCAAAACAGCAACCGCACTCACCCCTCTGCCGTCCCCTTTTGGTTCCCCCCAGCCCCTGCCCCCACCTCCCCCTACCGCTGGGGAGGCAGCAAGGGGAGGCAGGGGGCGACGGGGAGTGAGGCTGGGGGAGGGAGAAGGGGTGCGGAGGGGGGTGGTGGAGGTGGAGGAGGGGAGGATCCGACGGTCGGGAAAGGGCGTGATGGGGTCGTCTACGATGAACCGTCCATCTGCAAAGATCAACGAGGGAGGATGAACGAGGGGCGGGGCAGGGAGCAGCACGTTGGGAGAGAGTACTTGTGTAAACTGAGTGGGTCAGGAGGCATACGAGTGTGGAAGTGGGAGCAGGAGAGGGCATGGCGGCGAGGGAGGGCAGGAGACGAGCTGGGATAAAGAGTTACGAGAGTGACACCACCACCACCACGGCAACTCAAAGTCAGAACTGCACTCAAGCAGAGTCTTCATTACAAGACTAGTGCTGCTTATGACAATGTCTCATACTGCCACTACAAGGCTTGTGCTTTGTCACAGGTTTGGGGCATGTTACGTGTCTGCATAGAAGCCTTTAAGATGCACAAGGGCTTTAAGGTGGATTCTCCTTCCACTTGTAAGTTGCAAGAATTTGCTGGAAGCCTGATAACTGCTGGTTACCAAACCAGAGAAGAATCAAACACGAAATGCCTGAATTTGTTTTTATTTATGGCGAAGTTGATGACAGAGTAAATAAGCGCCGCTCATTGCTTTACCTCTCCTTGATTTGTGTCCCCTTGGTTCAGCCAGCTACCCATGTTACCACCCGGGCATGTGTGGATTTGCATCACCCGGTTCACCTCACCTTGCTTGAGGTCCTCTTCGAACTGCAGCAGCTCCTGGTTCAAGCTGCGCAGGTGGCTCTCCAGCTGGTGGCCAGTGTGGGACGTGGAGGTCAAGGGAAGGAGAGGAAGGAGGAAAAGGGAAAGGCGGGAGGGGGAGGGGTGGACGTGGTAATGCCGAGGAGCGAATGAAGGCTTTTGAGGCTTTTGATGCGTTTGAGGCTTTTGAGGCACCTCAAAAGGGGAGCGAATGAAGGCCCCTTGCTTGCTTGCTTGCAGTGCACAGGCAGCTCTCCATGTCATGGGGAGAGGGAGGGTGGGGAAGGGGAAGCAGTGGGCGCATGCATGTCCCCCACTTGCCCATATGTGCCTCAACACCCGCACCACCGCATGCAGCACACGCCAGCCCTACCACTCGTAGCCCCACACGCCAGCCCTACCCCTCTCAACCCCATGCTCTCGTCTCACCAGCACATGCGTTGACCCCTCAACTCTCGTCTCACTTTTACGCTCACTTGCTGCTCTCACTTGCTGCCTTGGACTCAAGTTTGAAAAAAACGGCAGGCCGTTTTTTTCGGTCGTTAACGGTTTTTTTTTATTTTAAAAACACCGTTTTTTAATAGGTTTTTTTTCTCTCTCTCTCTAAAATTAAAAAAAAAAAAAAAAAAAAAACCAGGGACAGAAGGGGACAACATAGACGACTTTTGGTGGCTATGGCATGCATAGTACTAACTGAACTAAATAGGTCCGCCAAAGCTCGAATCTGCCGCATATTCCTCCTCCTACTACTTATTTCCCCCCTACACTACCTCCTACCCATCCTTCTCCACATCCACCTACCCCTCCTCCTACCCCTCCTCCTCCCCTACTCATCGTCCTCCTCCTCTTCCTCCTCCTCCTCCTCCTCCTCCTCCTCCTCCTCCTCCTCCTCCTCCTCCTCCTCCTCCTCCTCCTCCTCCTCCTCCTCCTCCTCCTCCTCCTCCTCCTCCTCCTCCTCCTCCTCCTCCTCCTCCTCCTCCTCCTCCTCCTCCTCCTCCTCCTCCTCCTCCTCCTCCTCCTCCTCCTCCTCCTCCTCCTCCTCCTCCTCCTCCTCCTCCTCCTCCTCCTCCTCCTCCTCCTCCTCCTCCTCCTCCTCCTCCTCCTCCTCCTCCTCCTCCTCCTCCTCCTCCTCCTCCTCCTCCTCCTCCTCCTCCTCCTCCTCCTCCTCCTCCTCCTCCTCCTCCTCCTCCTCCTCCTCCTCCTCCTCCTCCTCCTCCTCCTCCTCCTCCTCCTCCTCCTCCTCTTCCTCGTCGTCGTCGTCGTCGTCCTCCTCCTCCGCCGACCCCCCCCAACCCCTCCCCCCTCTCCCACGCCGAGATCCCATGGTCCGCGGACTTCCTCCCACGGTTTTAAAATTTCGACCGTATAAAACGACCGTATTTTTCAACCAAAAAAAAGCTAACTTTCAGAACCGTTTTAAACCGTTTAAAACGACCGAAAAATACGGTACCGTAGCAAACGGTCTGAATCTGAAAAAAATGCCGTTTTTTTAACCTTGCTTGGACCTGAACTCACCAGCGCGCTCACTTGCTGCGCCAGAATGACCTTCTCATCACATAGCGCCTGCATCTTCTGCTGCTTCTCGGAAATTTCCTCCCTCAGCCTCTGCAGAGCAGCAGCCTTCTCGTCGCTGACATCGCCGCTGACATCATTTCTGACGTCATCATGTCGATCATCCCTCTGCACACCCTGGTCGTCGGGCCGCGCCCCTCCCGCTCCGTCCGCCAGCCGTCCTTCATGGCTCGGAGCACACGTAGGATGCACCGCTGCTGCCGCCTCCGCCTTAACCACCACAATCCCCTCCTTGCTCTCACCCTCCTGCTCTCTCACCTGCTGCTGCTGCTGCTGCTGCTGCTGCTGATGCTGTGCTCGGGGTCGCTTCTTTCCAATGCTCTTCCTCGTCCCGCCCTCCTCCATCTCTTCTTCCGCCTTCACTGAACCACCCACCCACCCCTCTCCTCCCCCCCCCTCCCTCTCCCCCCTCCCCCTCTTCCTCGGCCTCCCCCTCGGCCGCCTCTCCCCCCCTCCCCCTCCTGCTGACGTATGTGGGGATGGTGAGGGATCAAGGGTAAGGTGAGTCTGCCTTCCTGGCTCGTCTGCCGTCCCCTTCACAAGCGCCTTCAGTGCCGGTGCGCTGCCCGGCAAAGGAGACATGTCATCTTGCGCGTCGCTCCCCCCCCGCTTCGGTCTCTCATCCCCGGGCTGCTCGTCTCTCATCGCCCCTTCCCCTTCCCCCCCCCCTCGGGCTCAGGAGCAGGAGTAGCATCAAGAGCACCCGTGGCAGCAGCATCGTCAGCAGCATCAGCGGAATCAGCGTCATCACTGTCGTCTCCACCATTCTCACTCTCACCATCGCCCTCACCTCCCACTTCCCCATCATCAGCACTGTCGTCACCCCCCCTATGCGCCGCCTCCCTCTCTTCTATAGCGGTGAGCCCCACCCGAATATCACTCTGAATCTCACTGCGGAGAGCTGGAAAAGGGGCGGTGGGGGGGAGAGGTGGATACACACAGGAGGGAAAGGAAGGAGGGGAAAAGCAAGCAGGATGGGACAAGGAGCGAAGGTTTGAAATGTCATATTGGGGAGAGAAAAGAGGAGGGAAGTGACAGGGACGTAGAAAGAGTAAGAGGGAAAGGAAAGAGCCGTAGTCAAGAACGCAGGTAAAGAGGGAAGGCAGTGCTGTGACGTTAGCGGACGCCACATTGCCTTGAGCAGAGGGGAACAACGAGTGGCTACTGCAAGGTTATACCAGGGCCCTCACATGCGAGGGCATGAACCCCACATAACACGGCATGACCCTCACATGCCCGGGCATGAACCCCACATAACCAAGGTGGAAAAATTCGGCAGGCCGTTTTATTCGATCGTATTTTTTGGTCGTTTTTTTCGGTAATCTTGGGGAAAAAAACGCCGAATTTTTAATAGGAAACTCTAAATTACACGAAAAGAAATAAAAGAAAACATTTCGTAGAGCGCCTAAACGTCTGCCCCAAGGTGCAAAAATACGGCCGTATTTTATTTTTTTTGGCGTATAATACGGAATCGTATTTTTCGGTCGTATAAAACGGTTTATAACGCTAAAAGTGTACCTTTGTTGGTTGGTGCAAAAATACGGCCGTTTCATACGGCCGTTTTTTTCAACCCACCGAAACATTGGTCGGTCTAGTTTTTGTAACGAAGTCACGATGTTATCGAGTTGTTCTGTACTCACCCAGAAACGTCGTGTTCCGGTTTTCACCGAGCCGCGGATTTGACGGATTCACGAGCCGCGCAGACCCAACCCAACATTTGGCGAATTCTGAAGGGCCTGTACACCCGTTTCGTCAGTGTCGTTGGGTCTTTTCGCGCACAGAAGGTCTAATTTTCGCGCGCATCGCAAGCCTGCCAAGCTCTGGCGAGTCACTGAATTTGTTCGCGCCCTATCACAAGTCGTCCTTTCCGTTCCCTCCCAGCTAGCCCATCGATTGTTTCACACCTTTGCAGCGAGGCTACGAGGTACAAACACGGAACATCTCCAGCAAGGTGAGCACAATCCAGTAGTTCGTTTTTCTTGGCGGCATTCCACCCGAACATACTCCTCAGCTAGCGGCGTTTCCTAGCCACGCCATGCCTAGGCCCCCGTCGTCCTTATGGGAGCATGTGACGAAAGTGACGGGCCCGAACGGCCTTGTTACTAGCGCTGTTTGCAAATATTGTGACGATACCGTCACTCCAAACGCTACTAGGATCGGAGAGCATCTGTATGGGACTCCTAAGTCCAAGCACAAGAACGTCGCAATGTGCCCGTCGGAGTTTGCGAAGCAGCTGCGCACAACTCCTGAGGTAGAGGGCTCTTCGACCGTCGCTGGCTCAACTCGCGCCGATTCCTCGACGGTGCACCCGACTCCTCGGTCGCGTCAGCGCGATATTCGCGAGCTGACGGATATGGCCGGACGTTCGCGTCTGGACTACATGTGGGCAGCTGCTGTCGCGGATAACGACTGGGCCTTTCGGACCTCGCAGTCGCCCTCCCTGCAGGCCTTCGTCGACGCGGCCATCGAGTTCGGGAAGCCTTACAAGCTTCCATCCGCGTACAAGGTCTCGGGCCCACTGCTCGCGAAGCTCAAGGCCGACACAGAGGAGTTGCTACAGCCGCTGAAGGATACTTGGCAAGCGACCGGGGTCTCGTTGACCGTGGACGGCTGGTCTTGCCTCAAGAGCCGTGGCTTCGTGTGCGTCATCGCGCAAAATGACACCGCACCAGTTGTGGTCGACATTGTCGACTCCAAAACTGCGAAAAAAACCGGCAGCTACCTCTCCGAGCTGATCCGCCGCTCAATCTGCGAAGTGGGGGACCGGATCGTCGTCCAAGTTGTTATGGATAATGCCTCCAACAACAAGAAGGCCGCAGCCTTGCTGAAGGAGGGGTACCCAGGGGTTTACTTCACCAACTGCGCCGCCCACGTTCTTGATCTCATGTTGCACGACATGGGCGCCCTCCCCGTCGTGCACCACGTCCTCGGGCAGGTTCACCGCGTCGTCATGATGGTTAAGACGTCCGCCTCCGCGGTGACCCTCTTCCGTGAAGTCTTCAGCGCCTTGGAGCTCGTGCGCCCGGGGGCTACTCGATTCGGGACGCAAGTACTTATGCTCCAGCGCTTCCTCGAAGTGAAGAAGTCCCTGCGAGAAATGGTGATTAGTGAAGCGTGGGAGGAGGTGGCAGTGGCACGCACGGAGGAGGGAAAGGCCATCCGCGGCCTGCTGTTGGAGGACGTCTTTTGGGAGAGTGTTTCGGCGGTCCTCAAGCTCATGATTCCTGTCTATGGGGTCTTGCGGGCCGTCGACAGGCGGGCTCTCCTCATGGGCCAGATTTATGGCCTCATGCTGGAGGCCACTGTCAACACGAACGCAGCCGCCGAGGCAGCTGGTAAGCGCACCTCTAAATTCGCATCACCCTCTAATAGCCATCCCGCCGTCCCGTCAGCCTCTATGTTCCCGTACTCACCTGGTTGCAATCCCGCCCTCCCACTCATGCAACTCGTGCAGCCACGTTCTTCGTGAAGCGCACGGCTTTGCTCGATGCGAAGGACAGGGCGGCCTTCTTGGCGGCGGTCAAGAAAATCATCGCCCGCCGCTGGGACGGTCAGCTGCACAACCCACTTCAGTCGCTGGGGTGGCTCTTGAACCCGCGCAACCAGTATGTGGGGGAGGTGCGGAACGACAACGAGGTGCGGAATGGGGCGGAGGCTGTGTTTCAGGCTAGGGGAGGGGACGTGGCTCGCCGCACCTTGCTTGCGGCGCAGCTGGCCACCTTCCACAAGGGGGAGGGCCGCCTTGGTTCGGTGGACGCCCGCTGGGCGGCGACGGCCCTTGTGGAGAGTGGCCGGCTGTCCGACGCCGAGTGGTGGTGGATGTACGGCGGCGAAGTTGCAGCCTTGCAGGAGCTGGCTGTGCAGGTCCTTTCGCAGCCAGTGACCTCGAGCGAGGTCGAGCGCTATTGGTCGGCCTTGGCTCGGGTCCAAAGGCGCGACCGCAACAAGCTGAACGCGAAGACCATGACAGACGTCACGTTCGTCGCGTTTGGCAGGCGAGCGCGCGCCGCCCACGACCAGAAGGTGGAGGTCCGGGCAAGGCTGTACGCCGACCTTAGCGACGGCAGCCTGAGGGAGGGCAGCAATGTGCCTCGCCCCCCTCCGCAGCAGCCCGAAGAGGAGGAGGAGGAGGGAGGGTGTGTGGCTGGAGTAGCGTGTTCCATCGATTGGGACACGTTTGGCTCCATCGGCGGGCGGAAGAAGAAGAAGAAGTGCCGGAGCAAGAAGCGGGCCAAGAAAAGCAGTGGGTCTCGAAAGGGGAAGGAGAAAGTGGTGGTGGAGGAGGAGGAGGAGGAGGAGGAGGAGGAGGAGGAGGAGGAGGAGGAGGAGGAGGAGGAGGAGGAGGAGGAGGAGGAGGAGGAGGAGGAGGAGGAGGAGGAGGAGGAGGAGGAGGAGGAGGAGGAGGAGGAGGAGGAGGAGGAGGAGGAGGAGGAGGAGGAGGAGGAGGAGGAGGAGGAGGAGGAGGAGGAGGAGGAGGAGGAGGAGGAGGGGGAGGAGGAGGGGGAGCAGGCGGAGACGGACAGCGAGGGCAGCGGGCCAGAGGAGCCTGCAAAGAGGACCAAGGGGAGCAACCCGTGGGACTGCAGTGATGGGGACAGTGGGGAGGACGAGGAAGAAGAGGAGGAGTAGGAAGAAGAGGGGGAGTCGGAGGAAGGAGCCGTGGTGAAGGAGGAAAGAGGGCATAGTGGAGGAATAGGGGGGGGCATGGTGGAGGAGTAGGGGGGCATTGTGGAGGAGTAGTAGGAGTAAGTTAGACTAGACTGACCTGGAAAGTTTCTTGTTAGCCCGCGTAGCATTCGGTAGTCTGTCATAGCCAAGGTACTGTCAGTTTCTGCATGTCTGCCCTTTTTTTTTTCCAAATATTTTCGTCTATTAAAAAAACGGCGTTTTTTTCAAAAATCTGGCGTATTATACGACCGTATAAAACGGACCGTATAATACCGATACCGTTTTTTTGCACCCTGGTCTGCCCAGATCCGCGCATTCCGTCCATCGAAACGCGAGACACGCGCATTTTGGCGGGGAGATGCCAGATCCGCGCATTTTAGTGGGCGAAATGTCAGATCTGTGCATTTCGTCCACCAAAACGTAGGATCCAACACATTTTGGCAGGAAAAATGCCAGATCCGCGCATATCAGCTGGCGAAATGCCAGATCTGCACATTTCGCCAGTATTTTTTTCTCTCTTTTTTTTTGAAAAATTCGGCCGATTCTTTTTACCAAAAAAAATCTGATATCTTCAACCGTTTTATACCGAATAAACGACAAAAAAATACGGTACCGTAGCAAACGGCCTGAAAGTAAAAAAAAGGCCGTCTTTTTAAACCCTCCACATAACACGGCATGACCCTCACATGCCAGGGCATGAACCCCACATACCGTCCAGCTTGGCATCTGCCGTCCAGCTCTCTCCTACCTTGGCATCTGCCGTCCAGCTCCCTCATGAGGGACAGCATGCGCTGCAGCTCGTGCGGCAGGGAGGACACTTCTGCACAAATGGAGGGCAGAGGGTGAGCGCAGTGGGAGGAGGGGAGAAGAGTAGGTGGATGTGGCAGGGGTGAAAGGAAGGAGAGAAAGGGAGGCGTTCGGGAGGAAGGAGGGAGGGAAGGGGGGGGAAAGAGGGGGGGGGAAGAGAGCGAAGGGAGGGGAGGGTGCTTGGAGAAGGCGAGGAGGTGATGGGGGGGGGCAACGGCAACGAGGAAGCAGGAGGGTGGGGATGTGGTGGTGGGGGGAGGGAGATGGGAGGGAGAGGCTGCAGACCGCCTGATACCAAAGTGGTGGGGCGAGAGGGAGATGGAAGTGGTGGGGCGAGAGGGAGATAGAAGTAGAAACGGAGCGGTGGGGTGGAACGACAAAAGCTGGATGTGATAAACTTACTTGCTGTAGAACCACTCCCCACAGAGTGACCGAGTCACATCCCACAGGATATTTCACCCATGGTCCCACCTGCCACGCACGGCCCACCTGCCACGCACAGCCCACCTGCCACGCACGGCCCACCTGCCATGGCGCACTTGCCACGGCCCACCTGCTACGGCCCACCTGCCACGGCCCACCTGCCATGGCGCACCTGCCACGGCCCACCTGCCACGGCGCACCTGCCACGACGCACCTGCCACGGCCCACCTGCCACAGCCCACCTGCCACGGCCCACCTGCCACGGCCCACCTGCCACGGCGCACCTGCCACGGCCCACCTGCCATGGCCCACCTGCGAGGAAGTCGTCCACGTAGACGCCTGTACGCGTGGTCGCCATCGCCACCACCACCACGTGCTGCTGGGATCCGCTTGAAGCGCTCTCGATTCAATCACCTTCCAGCGCCTTCAGTGCCTCTCACCCTGCCACAGCACGGCGGCAAGTGCCACTGAGATTCGCAGAGGAGCGGCGCCGGCAGGTCCGGCAACCCTCATGACGGTGACCGGCAATCTAGGTGGCCGGCAGACAGGCAGACGCGTTCAAATGACGGTTGTCGCAAGGGAATGGAGAGCAGCACCTCGCAGCTGCGCGCCGAGCCCTCCGCTGCTAGGGCACGACGAGCCCTGCTGAGAGAAAGAGAGAGAGAGAGAGAGAGAGAGAGAGAGAGAGAGAGAGAGAGAGAGAGAGAGAGAGAGAGAGAGAGAGAGAGAGGGAGGGAGGGAGGGAGGGAGGGAGGGAGGGAGGGAGGGAGGGAGGGAGGGAGGGAGGGAGGGAGGGAGGGAGGGAGGGAGGGAGGGAGGGAGGGAGGGAGGGAGGGAGGGAGGGAGGGAGGGAGGGAGGGAGGGAGGGATGGAGGGAGGGAGGGAGGGAGGGGGGGGGGGGGGGGGAGAGAGAGAGAGAGAGAGAGAGAGAGAGAGAGAGAGAGAGAGAGAGAGAGAGAGAGAGGGGGGGGGGGGTGGGAGGGGGAGGGAGGGAGGGAGGGAGAGGGAGGGAGAGGGAGAGGGAGAGAGAGAGAGAGAGAGAGGAGAGAGAGAGAGAGAGAGAGAGAGAGAGGGGGGGAGAGAGTGATAGAGAGAGAGAGAGAGAGAGAGAGAGAGAGAGAGAGAGAGAGAGAGAGAGAGAGAGAGAGAGAGAGAGAGAGAGAGGGAGACGCGGCTAGACGCGCCTTCGCGGGAACAACCAGCGGGGCGACCTCCTGAGCTGCCCTCGTGCCCTCGTGCGCGAACGAAGAACGCTGCGCGCCTCAAGGGGCTACTTCCTGATCTGGAGGGTCGATAGCACCCAACTTGGCGGCCCTAAGACTCCAAAAAAAAAAAAAAAAAAAACGCCCAGCGACGAGACAGGCACGGATTAGGAACGGACTTTGCGACGGGGAAGGCACGGATGGGCGAAAGCCAAGCAGGAAGTGGCGAGCGCGGAGAGGCAGCACTAGGCGAAAGGCTCAAACGGCGTCGTCCAGCTTTGTGACTTTAATTGTTGATTATCGCCGAAGCACTCTGGTTTCGGCAGCACGAATGGCGGGGTGAGGAGACATCTAAAGCGCCACATAGCGCGCCAAGCGGAGAAAAAAGATGGGAAAAAAGATGGTCTTGAACAGGGCTCTCCGTTCAAGGGTAAATATCCGGAATGTCAGGTACATTCCGGGTATTTTTCGCTGAAATCCTGATTTTGAGGATTTCGGCCTTCCCAACCTCCTGACTGATTCCGGACGTTTCCAAGGAAATCCCTGAGCAATCCAGATTGCGCAAAAATTTGACCTGGCTGTCCGACTGGTATGGAAAAATCCCGTGGCGGAACTGTCAAATTCCACGCATTCTGAAGGTGCGACCTGTGGAACTTTCACAGCCGCACAAGCGCAGGGCGATCAGACTAATCATACCCCCTTACCATCTAAGCCCGGTTGCGCACTGCCACTCTCTAAGTTTTATGCATATCTGTCGCGATAGAGGCTAAGTGTCGAACTTGGTGTGTTGGTGAGGGATAGCAGCAGCAGAAAGCAAGTGTTTTGTATTCTCTTCCATCGTTTCTTCCACCTTTGTCCTTCCTGCTTTCTCGAACTGCCCAAAGTCTCCTCTGAAATGTAGGGCGTTCCACGCTCTGAATTTCAGATTGAAAGTTCAAAGTGATCCTGAAATAAAGAGAGATTTCCCAGGGAATGCTGTTTTTTCAGGGTCTTCAGTGACGCGAGTCCTGAGCCTGCTGGGTCTTGAAAATAACGAAAAATTAGCCCTGGTCTTGAAGCCGTTGACCCATAACGCAAGTTTTCACGTTCAAAAATATTAATCTTGACAAGCGAAAAGGGAGTAACCGTGTAAGGGGTGCACCAAACCACGACCACCTTTGGCGACAAAAAGCCGCAATTTGATTGGTCACAGCGGTTCGGGAGACATTCGGACGGGCCAAACCGCTGGGGCCCCCCTCAAACTAGAAACACCTATGGCAGCATCTTGGGACTTGAGAGACGCAACCAAGAGCTCCACTGCGAGACGAACGAAATGAGCAGGCGAAAAAAATATAACGGGGACAGGCGAATAAAGCGCAAAGACCGTGTGTAGGATAATTGAGTAGCGAGGAAAACAACACAATGAGGCAACATAAAAATGGCAGGGAGCATGGATATAGCTAGCCTAAAGCATACAGTCGTGGCTCGGAAGAGCTGAGATGTGTGGTTCGTAAAGTGCCCAGATCTAGGCATGAAACAGCAAGGCGGGCAAAATGCATGCGGTTCATCAGGAGGCCACACTTGGGTACCGCGATTTGAATTCCGTGGCAGAGTTGCGCGGCAACCCCGTTATAGCAGTGTATGCCTTACTAATTAAAACCCGTGATAAAGAAATAGCATTTCCTTAAACCCTCCCCCTTTCAAGGTATGGTCTTAGTGTCAACATATATATAATATACATATATAAATATATATGTAGGTTAGGTAGGTGTACTAAAAGGTATTGGTTCGTACTATAGAGGGAACAACTCTTCTCATGTATACCTCTTTCTTCTCTTCAACTCTCTTTTCTCTCAACATGGTTTAAGACCATGTCCATCTTGCCTGGCTTCTCCCCACGCTTCAGCAGCGCACTCTCTCCTCTCCTCCCATTGTCGCGCCGACGTGGCGGCCTCGTCGTGCTGCAACGGCAACCTCGATGCGCTGCCCTGGCGGCCTCATCGTGCTGCCGTGGTGGCCTCGATGCGCCAGCGCACGGACAGCAGCGGCCTGTGCGCTGGTTTAGCGCCAGCCAGCACTCCCGCACGCCAGTCAGCGCGCCAGCCAGGGCTGCTCTCTAACTGGCTCCGCCGCCGAAGACCCGCCCCCATCCCCGCAGCAGCTGATGGCGGTCTCGCACCGTCCTTCCCCGTCGTCGGAGAGACATGCTACGCCATCGGGCCGCGGGCTCCGCCGCCGCTGTCATCACTGCCGCCGCCACTGCCACCGCCGCCGACGTCGCCGCCTTGTTCGCCGAGGGGTCGAATGAGCTGAAGAAGCCACCGCTACTGCTGGGTATGGGGGTGCTAGGGCTTGGGGGTGCTGGGTGTGTGGTGTGAACTCTTCTTGCTACTCATATCAGTTGACATACTAGTAGTGTTGACCTGGTCTTTTGCTTCTGTAAGTAGCGCCTACCAAGCCTAGGGGGTGTGTCAACATATTTATATATATGTGTGTAGGCTAGGTAGGTGTACTACAAAGTAATGGTTCCTACTGTAGAGGGGACAGCTCTTCTCTTGTACCCCTCTCGCTTCTCGAGTCGACTCTCTCTTCTCTCGCTAACTTGCCTACCTAGCTAAATCCTCTCTCGACACTTAGCTCAGACCGCCGACGTCGCGCACATTGCGTGACTGGAGGTAGACTCGTAACACAGGGTAATTCTTGATTTGTGCTAGGGGCATCCAACTGTTTTTTCAGGGCCGTCCAATCCTTCCAGGACATCAAAAACTCAATCAGACGAGCCCCTCGAGGGTCCTTGATCCGATGGCAAAGAATCTTCGCAGGTTCGACTGTAGGTTCGACGAGCAATCGGATGTTCCGGTTTGTCCGATGGCGTGGCAGTTTACTGGTGCTGGCGATGTATGGTTGTAACAGTCGCGAGTGAAATTATGGGCTCATATTCCTGGTGGCGGGTAACAGTAGATGGGCTGTAACGGAGGATATCATGTGGCTTATTGTAAACGGTTTGCAGTCCAAGGTTCTGGGACGATGGGCAGTCGAAGGTTCTGAGGTCAAGCAGTACTAAGTCGGTAGCCTGGTAAGGCACTACTTGTCAGTATAAATCGGTGTTGTGCTTAGAAATAACATTCGCGCGCTTAATGGCTTCCGCTGCTCGCTCCTTGGCATTCTGTAATATTTTGGCGAACTGTTGGGCTCGAGGTACTGGATTTTCGATGTTGGGCGTGATTGGTACTGTAGGGTTCTGTTCGTAATTCGAGTAGAATGGTGATTGTCAGGTAGTGGCTGACGGGCCATTATTATACGCGAACTCAATTAGTGGCAGTTGCTGCTCCCAGTCGACCACGACATCATAGGTGGCGCGAATCAACTGCTCAATCGACTGATTGGTTCTTTCGGTCTGTCCGTCAGTCTCGGGGTGGTAGGCGGAGGAGAATTACAGGCCTATGCCAAACTGTTCCCAGAGGTTGCGCCAGAAGTTACTGGTGAATTTTGTGTCACGATCCAAAATGATGGCGGATAGAATTCCGTGGAGGCGAAAGACGGTCTTGATGAAAAGACGGGTTGTCTCTTCACCTTTCTTGCAGGCGGCGAAGTGAGCCATCTTTGTCAGCTTATGGACGGCGACAAATAACGCGTCATTACAGCCGTCCTTGGCAGGCAGTCCCGTAACGAAGTCCTTCGTCACATGCTGCCACGCACGCTCAGGCGGCGGAATCTGTTGCAACTGACCAGCTGGCTTATGATTCGATGATTTCAAGGTTTGGCATCTTCTACACAAAACCACATGCCGCTGCACGTCCCCTTGCATGTAAGGCCAGAAATAATATCTGGTAAATTGTTGTCGTGGCTCTGCGCGGATGTACTGTAGGCTGCGATGGTGTGTCCGTACTGTCACGTGCGCACCCGTCATGTAGCACCGCCACACCTTGAAGACGTGCACGATCGCGTGCACCTCCTTCCCATGTATCGGATAATTTTGCTCAGGTTTAACTTCAGTAACTCGTACGCGATTGGCTGTAGGCCTTCGCCGAAGTCCTGTAACAGTATTGCTCCGATTGCAATGTCACTGGAGTCTATGATGACTTCGAACGGACGGTGAGGATCGACGATGCGAAGGACAGGGGCTGAGCACATAAAGGTTTTGAGCGCGAAGAAGGCAGCTTGCTCTTTCTCCCCCCACCTATAGTCAGTCCCTTTCCACAGCAGGCTAGTCAGTGGTGCTGTTACCCGTGCCATATTCAAGATAAATCTCCAAACGTAATTAACAAACCCTAAAAGCTTTGCAGGTCCTGCAGGTTCGTATGCGGTAGCCAGGCTTCCACCGTCTCGATCTTCTTGGGGTCAACTTCAACGACCTTAGTGGAAATTACGTGACGTAAAAATCCCAAGCGTCCTTTCAAGAACTCGCACTTAGACCCCTTCGAGAACAGCCAATGCTCATGCAGTAGGGTGAAAACGGCTTTGAGGTCTTTTAAGTGCTGCTTCCAAGTCTCGCTGTAGATCAGGATGCCATCTAGGTAGACTATAACACACTTATCAATGAGCGAACTAAAGATCTGGTCCATGATCTTTCGAAAAGACGTCGGGGTGTTCGTCAGTCCGAAGGGCATAACTACATACTCGAAACTCCCATACGTAGTACGAAACACAATCCTGTGACAGTGAGCTACAACAATGCGAATCTGGCGTAACCCCCTCGTATATATTTTTTCGAGAAGCGAAGTTGGTCAATCAGTTCGTCGGTGCGAGGGATGGGGTAACGTGAGTTGATAGTCACCCTGTTCAGTGTTGTGCATTCGGTACACATTTGGTACATGCCGTCCTTCTTAGGGGTGAAAATTATCAGGTCGGCGAAAGGGGATGAACTTGGGCGTATGACTTTTTTTCTAAAGTTAGTACTCTACGTGCTTCCATAATTCCTCTAACCCTGTCTGTGTCAATCGAAATTGCCACTGAACCGTGGGTTGTGGCCCTTGTTCTAATTCTCTTTGATGGTCGAAAGGCCTTTCTGGTGGTAATCCCTCGGGCAGGTCATCTGCGGAAATCTGCGAATCAACTGCGCTAGATCGGCCGACACTGATGCTGTCAGCTTCTCTAAATCAGGAGGCTGCAATGCCAGATCGACAGTGTGAACGACTACAGCGAAGACTTCTGCTCCCCATGCGACTGCTCGTTTTATCACCATGGAGTTCACCCGTGTCACTTCTCTTATAATCCCCTTCGTCCATTCTAGTAACACTAGCCCACGGCCGTTGATTTTTACGGAACGGCTCCCGGTCGTCCAGTCAATTTTCATATTGAAGCGTCCCAGCCAATCCCGTCCCAGCAGCATGTCAAATCCATCGAGTGTAGTTGCCATCATCCTTGTCGAAAAATTTAAGTCAGCTACACAGCGTACCCTAATCTTTTCCACCCGGTCCTTTATTGCTAATGGGGTTCCGTCGACTAGTCGGGTGACGATCTCCGGTAGACACCTATCTAAGGGTAACTTCATTTTTTTTTGCCGTGGCAAGGTTGATCAGACTGTGGTTAGCTCCCCGTCCAAAAAAAAATCAAAAAATTTCCCTTAAACCCTATCCTCTAAATAAATGGGGTAATCCGCCGCTGCACCCTCTTTATTCAGCCGAGTTTGGTCAATTGCATGGATCGGTACCAGCACTCGATGAGGGTCATTAGTCATAGGCGAGCAGGTTCCATCAGTAGTGGGCCCGTTAACTATTGATACTGAGCGTTTCCCAGGTCGCTGGAACTCCCCTGCCCCTGATTCCGCTTCTTCTGCTCCTCTGGGCATTTCGACTTGCGGTGTCCTGGCCTGTTACACCCGAAACAACGACCTTTGAAGGTTGTAGCTGCTAAGGTCGAAGTTGCAACAGCGTGTTCTGTGGCACGCTCGATTGGTCCCCAAGTGCGAATTCCGTCGTAGGACGAGGTTGAAGTCATAAAAAATATT